CTTTGGCAGATTACAGCCTTATAAGTCCTGTGGGGCAGTTTCAGTCTGTCCTCCAAGGTTGCTGTGAGCTTGAATTCACTTGAGGGCAAGAAGTTTACTATGCAGCAGACAGGTGCTGGAGATACACTAGTGAATAATACAGGCCTGCTCTCTTGTAACTCGAATTCCATCAGGAAAACGCGATAATTTTTAAAGTAAATAAATGACGTATAATAGAAAATGACACTTGAGAGACACAACAGAGACAATGAGCAATAAGGAGTATCGTGGGGTTTAGGGGAGAACACACTTCTCAATCAGGCAGAAAGCACCCTATGGATTCCCTGAATTGATGAACTGAGTAAAAGTCATTCGCTGCCAAACTGAAGCATAATATATGACCCTTAATAATCAGTGATTTCTATTTGATAGATTAAACCAATTAAATAACCAAGTACTAATACAGCTTCTTAAAACAAATACTTTACCATTAACAACAACAACAAAATATCTCACACTTTACAAAGGGGAAAAAGTGATGGGAAGATATTGAAAGAAATAAAATAATATTACAGCATCTACAAAACAATCACACACATCCTACTTTATCAACTGCATTGAATGGCCCAAGGTGTTTTACAAGGACTTTGACACAGTGTGCTTGGCAAGTTGTTACAGCTGCCCATTTTGCACAGCCGAAGTGCAAATGTAGCAAATGATTTTTACCCTGCATTTGACAATTCTATCAGTACGCCTGAAAAAACAAATGAAAGAGCAGTCAGGAGAGAATAAGAAGACTTACCATTTCATTATGGAAGAATTACTAAAGATTCAATGGTCCTTGTGAGGAAATAGGATTCACAATTCGTGGGCACTTTATCAAAAACAACAGCTGCTCCTTAGCAGAGACATGCCTTTCTAACCCTGCGGAGTTACAGGCTCAGAATCCTACCTGGGCGGTTGTACTGTCTTACAGAGTCACGTTGAGCAGTATCATGGCTATCAAATGGTGGCAAACTTTTGCTGAAGATCATCCAACAAGGTTTGCAGCAGTACATTGACAAGGAGCTGCCGGAGGTTCAAGCCAGATTCAGAAAGGATGTGGAACAAGGGCTAACATGGCTGATGTCAGATAGATTTTGGCTGAAAGCAGAGAATACCAGAAAGATGTTTGTGATTCACTACGGCAAGACAATCAACTGTGTGGATCATAACCAATTATGGATAGCCTTGAAAAGAATGGGAATTGTAGAATACTTCATTGTGCTCATGTGGAATTTATACACAAATCAAGAGGCAGTTGTGCAGACGAAAGAAGGAAATACTGCCTGGTTTTAAAAATCAGGACAGGTGTGTGACATGGTTGTGTTCTCTCACAATAGTTTGTAAAGCCAGATTGCCCACGTGACTGGTACCGCCATCTCGGGCAGGCTGTGGTTTTGTGTTTCCTAGCAGTGCAAAGTAGGACGTACCCAGAAACGGAGGCTAGCCAAGCCAACCTGGGAGCGGCACAGAGTCCAATCGCCGAGGGGAGGACAGGGCCAGCGCGGAACTACACAAAGGACCAGACTGCCAACCTACCTCAAATGAGCCAATCAGTGGGTTGCCGAGAGGGGCGGCTGGGAACGCCCCATTACGTGTACCTGTAAATAAAAACTTTAGAATTTCTTCTGTGGGGACTCTTGTCCAAGACGGTGCACGCAGATAAGCACCTGAGGACTGGAGCCCTGGCTTAAGCTAGCATAAAACCTCTTCTGTTATTGCAGCCTTGTGTTTGATCTCTTCCTATTGAAAGGGTAATCGCTCCAGGTCCCTAACAAGGTATTCAATCTGCACGCATAGCAAGAAATCAGAGAAGCTGGCTTATATGAAGAATGTGGCATTAGAATTGGTGAACCTGTGATATGCAGACACAACCTTGATTGCTGAAAATTGAGAACTTGAAGCACTTGCTGAACATGATCAACGATTACAGCCTTCAGTATGGATTACAACTTAATAATGTAAGAAGATCAAAATCCTCACAACTGGCCCAATAGATAACATCGTGATAAATGTAGAAAATGTTGAAGCTGTCAAGGATTTTTGTCTTACTTGGATACAAAATCAATGCTCTTGGAAGCAGCAGTCAAGAGATCAAAAGCATCAGGTAATTCTGCAGCATAAGACCTCTTTAGAGTGTTGAATAGCAAGGATGTTACTTTGAGAACTAAGGTGTGCCACACCTATCATGGTATTTTTAATGGCCTAATATGCATGTCAAAGCTGGACATTGAATAAGGAAGACTGAAGAATCTATGCATTTAAATTGTGGTGCTAGAGAATATGCAAAGTACCAGGGACAGCTAACAGAACATAGCTGTCTTGCAAGAAGTACAGCTAGTGTTATCTAGCTGACAGGATGGTAAGACACTGTCATACTTTGGACATGTTATCAGGAGAGCTCAGTCCCTGGAGAAGGACGACATGCTTGTTAGCGGGGCAGGGAAAAGGGCAGGTTAAGAGATGGATTGACATTGTGGCTGAAGCAATGAGCTCAAGCATAGGAACAATTGTGACGCTGAAGCAGGACCAGCTATGTTTTGTTCTTTTGTGCAAGTCACAACAGGCTCCATCGCACCTAGCAACACTGAAAGGGTTGCAATGAATGAAGAACCCGAATGTGTTTGAATTGTTGATTGTAAAACTATAATCAGTTCTAAAACCTTCACCTAATCCACAAGTTACAAAAAAAACTAACACCATGATACATGGTATTTGCATGTAAATGAGGCAGCCACAGATTTCTTAGACATTCAAATATCTTAACAGTGGTAGGGTTAGGGATGGAATTTATTATAGTTCTATGCATTTCCAAAAGAAGGAAGTGTGGTGGTCTCCTTTTGTAAAGGATATAAGAAATCCTGTTTCATTTTTTTTGGGGGGGGGGGGCATTCTATGCTGTCCTTTAGTTTGGTGTATTTTCCATATTCTTTGTAAATGAACATACTTTCAATTTATAAGCAGAAAGAAAAGAAATTAAGTATCAGCCACCCTACGCACAGACTGAAACCCTGCCTGGTGCTGCACCATCCTCACAATTGTTTCTACGCTGGAGCCTAGAGTGGCCACCACTGTGCCAATCCATCTCCTTGAGGGCCGCCCCCGCCCCCTCCCCCCTCTACCACTACCCCGTATAATGTGCTTCTCCAGGTCACATGTCCAAAGTACTTGAGATAAGGTCTCTACCTAAGCTGGCCTCTCAGGAGCATTCTGGCTGTAATTTCATAGGTAGGCATGTGTTTTGTCTCATTTCCTTATACGAGTCCATTAGGTATGGGCATTATTCTGTTTTTATTAGTAGCCATATCAGAATCTCTCAGAGATGCAAGTGCAGATTTTTATTCTTTATTGAGGTTTACAAAAACATTGTAGAACTACATAAAGCAGATCCTGTCTCTTCCTCACAAAACCAGAGCACAATACATTTCCCTAGTAATTTTATAGCAGTAACAAGCTATTTTACAAAAATTGCTTTAAGAGTTTTTTTCACAATAAACTTTGGACAGCTTGCTGTAATAATTCTGACATTCTTCATTTCTTAATGAACATGAGTTGTATGTATTTTAAGCTATTAAATCAATCTGTTTTAAGGGACAGGTGGGCTAGATGCATTTATGAAAACACAAAGGCGCAATGAAGTTCTTCTATCAATACCTTTGTCAGATTATTCTAAATAGGCTATTTCCTCGAGTTCAACAAACCTGATAAAATTATACTCTCAAGAGGCAACTACTCCCACCTATAACATGCAAAATGGTTATCTATTCAAAACCATGGTACACTTTAATTGTGGAAATTTAAGAAGTGACTCATACTTTTTTCCTGTAGATGTTGACAAAATATCTAGTGACATGGAATTAGGCAGCAGGGACAAAGAATTTACTTGGAGGGACGGGCATTAGAAAATCCCCAAGAGACTGCAGCCCTGGTTACCTACGCAAATGCCCTTCGGATTCTCATTACATTCCCTAGGTTTTGACATCTACCTAGCACAGTGGTTACTCAGTGGGCGGCCAACTGCAGGGTCAGCTGCTCAAAGCCACCAGCAGGTAAAAGAGAAGTTTTCCACTCCCATAAACATTTAGTCTCAGAAACCAACAGGAGTTCTACTCCATCCTACAGGGCCACCAGGAGTTGTTGGAATGAACTTAATTACAGTGAGCTTTGTTTTGTGGTATAAATTCAAAATCAAAATAGGACTTTTCCCACCACTAGCCAGCTTTCTCTCTCCATTACTCACTCCACATGACGTTCTACCTCTGGTTTCAGTACTGCATGCCTCATCTTAGATTCAGCTTTCTCAGTTCACTATGAACTCTTCTCTGTGAAGTCTTCCACAAACCTCCCACAAAAACATTACGGGCTTTGCTACTGAGTTCCCCCGGCTTGCAGCTCTGTGAGAAGCTACTACACTGGAATTCTTGGAGGGCAGACACAAGTGTTTCCTCAACAGTATCTCGTGTAGAATTCTGCAGTACAAGAACTCAAAAATTGTTTCTAGAATAGACATATTTAACATTTCAGAACTCCAAATGGAAAATCACAACACAGATATCAGCTTAATATTTTGTTAAAGAAATATTCTGCTCCCCTCCAAATACATCCTTTTATAATAATGTCTTATAAGGTGTTCCAGTGGCGCAGTGGGTACTGCATTGGGCTGCTCACCCAAAGGCCAGCAATTAAACACCATTAGATGAGCCAAAGGAGAAAGCTGGGGCTCCTGCTGCAGCAGAGTCCCAGTCTGGAAAACCCAGAGGCAGTTCTACCCGGTCCTGCAGGCTCACTGTGAGTCGGAACTGACTCAATCAACGTTGGGAGTTACTAAGTTTTATGCATTCAAAACAGGTTCCCCTAATAAAACTGGAAGACATTTTATCTTCAGAATAGTTATGTTCAATGGAAGTGTATACATTTGATATCTGCATCCTCCTTGCTAGGATTGAAACTGCTTAGTTTAGAAATAAAAACACCAGGAGGGCAGGGAACAGTTTATTGTAAAATATGATGACGCAGCAATGATATGAACAAATGAGTTTCCACTTTACAATCCTAGTCAGAACACAAAATAACTAGATATCCCCATCAAGCCAAGGTCAGGGGAGTTTTAAAAAAAAAAAAAGAAAAGAAAGTAGAACCACCACGAAGACAAAGTTACATTAAAATCTTTTTCTCTTGATAATTTCTGGTTTCCAGCTGACTGGATGGGTTTCTTCTGTCTAAAAACAGAGAAGTAAGTTAAGATAAAGTATTAGTTTCTTTGACATTAGCAGACTTCTCATAAAATCAGTTTTATCTATTCTAAATCATTATATATTTAGTCATTCTACAACAACTTTAGAAGTAGTTGAAATTTTTGGCCCTGACCAAGTCTCTGGTGAAGAAGGCTGAACAGATTTAAAGTTCAGTTTGAGGTATTTCACCTTAATATAATTATTCTCTACATTCTAGTGCCACCACAGTTGTGACTCTGGAATTGCCTAACTTCATTCATAGGCTGCTATTCTGAGTGCCAGGATCTTCTTAATGACTACCATAAAGAAAACCAGAATAAAATAAAAATAAATCAATAAATCTATGGATTCACTGATATCCATGACATCTACTAAAATCGGAGGAGTCACTACCCAAGATAACCAACACCTTTAATACTTTGAGAATTTGTTTTTTGGTTTTTCTGATCATTTTAGTAACTTGAAGATGAGAAATGAGAAAACACTTGTGAAATCTGTGTTTGACTTACTTTACTTAAAACTCCATGGGAAAAAGAAAACTTACCGCTGTATCATCCTCTCTGTACACTTTAATGGTTTTATCAGCCTCTGCTGTCAGTAATCGGCTTTCAGACTGATCAAAAGCACAGGCAAATATTCCTGATTCGCTGTCTAAAGACCCAGGCTGCACAGCTGCATGAACTCTCTGGAAATTATAGCCAGTTCTCCAGTCCCAGAGATGCATCGTGCCATTGTCGGCTGAAAGGGAAAAACCTGGTTAAGAACTCCTTGAAAACTAAGCCTGGCATTTACTAAAACACTAGTCACTAGCCGAGCACCATGGCAATAACAGTTCTAAGAATATTTAAGATAATTATAAAGATATTCAGCTTTTCTTAACACTGGATTGTATTTCATGTGTGTTCAATGAATAGTACAGATTCAGAAAAAAACACAGTATTTGAAAACCACTTCTTGCTCAGCCAGCTCTGAGTGGTTCCCAGTGCAAACCCCAATGTGGACTATGGCTAAGCACCAGCATATAGACAGTCACTCAAATACACACCGCTGAGGTTAGGAAAGTTCCATTATAATGCTTTGGTGTGACCGCCTCAACTTTTTTCAAATATTTACTCAATTCACCAGAAGAAAAAGTGACTAAACAATATGTTCAGCATAAAAATCCTACCTCCAGATACCAGCACTCCATCAGAATTCACCGTCAATGTGTTAATAATGGCATTATGACCAGAAAGATTTTGAATGAAACTTCCATCAGGGAATTTCCACTGTTTTATGTTATCTGGAGAACCAGATGCAAATGTGTAACTGAAGTAAGAGTAAAAAGAAAGACAAAATTAGCCAAGTTAAAAAAATAGTGAAATTCACAGGCCTACAATAAAGAGTCCTTGTAGTGTAGTGGGTTACACAGTGGGCTGATGACCTTAAAGATCAGCAGTTCGAACCTCGCAGTCACTCCCCAGGAAAAAGAGGAAGCTCTCTGGGTTCTGAAAGATCATGTCTGATAAGGTCTCCATGAGCCAGAATCAACTCGATGGGAGTGGATTTACTGTGGTTGTAATTTTGTAATGTGCACTCTTTATGTATGTCGTCTTAAAATAACCTCCAAAAAAAGATAGTAAACTGCAGCCACTGAATCCTTTTTGTCTCAATTAAACCCTGTAGCACCAGGTGGAACTGCCCCTGTTGGTTCCCGAGACTGTCACTCTTTCCAGATATAGAAAGCCCCATTTTCCCTCATGGAGCAGCTGGTGGTTTCAAACTGCTGACTTTGCAGTTATGAACTCAAAGCATTAACCACTACACCAGATTGTTTTATTCTCCCCTCATTTCTCCAAAGCTCTACGATAAATGGGAGCAATGAATGTGCAAAACCGTAATTTTACACAAATGGTAAAGGGGTGCAGATGTGGTTATTTTGGAGAGGGACAGTATTTCTCAGGGGGTGGTACCAGCCCCGGGGAGCACTGGAATGAGTGGCGGGGGTGGGGCTGGGGGGTGTTCCTGAAACAGACACATGTACTTATGGGCTATACTACAAAACTTCTTCATGGTGAAGGGAGTGCTGAGTATTTTTTTTTCCTCAAGAGGGCGGTAAGCCATTCCGCCCGGGGAGCTACGGGACAGAAGGAAGGAGAACAAGGGACAGAAGGAGAGGAAGGGAGGAAGACAGTGTGTGGCTCTGAGAGCACTGTGAGGGGTGCTCTCACCATCAGCGGGAACACCAAGTTCAACCTCTCTGGACATCCAGACACTATTTTCACGGTGTGTTTTACCCCCCCATCTCTATAAGAATCATTCTGTGTTTCTGCGTTCAATACCATTTATTTACAACTTTTATGTGTAATAGAATTCAAAAGCATTAGCTTTCATTTTGACTATGGCCCACTTCGACATATTATCTCATTGGACATTATGATTTTTACGTACTGTCTTGGATGTAAAACCACGGCCCGTACTGATTTTTTGTGATTTGTTAGTGTGACTCTTGTTTTTCCAGCCACCAAGTCCCATAATCGTATTGTAGTGTCATGGCTTCCTGCAATGAAAATACAAACACTAAACATACACCAGGAAAATGGGGGCTAAAGTTAAAATACGTAAATTATGAAACATTCTTTCAGACGTAGTATACTGCATTAGAGGTTTACCTTTGCCTAATTTCCTTATACTCAAAACTCAAAAAATTCTTAGCACTGAGTCGATTCTGACTTATAGTGACTCCAGAAATACAAATAACAACCAATCATTTTACCTCACAACTACACACCAAAAGGAAAAATTCAAGTTTGCTACTTAGTAAAATATATCAAATAAACACCTTGTTTTTTACTTTTAAAGACACGTTGTTATTCTTCTTCTTGTTTTTTTAAAATATAAGCTCTAAATGTTACTAATCAGAGGATATTTCATTGTCTTGCTTCAACTTCCTACATTAGTAGTTCTTACACTACAAAACAATGTTTATAATGGCACCATTTTCTAATCAGACATTAGAAGACATTGGGTATAACACACTCTGTAATATAAAAAAAAACACAACCCACTTAAAAGACGTGTGACTATAATACTTAAGTGCCTCATCAAAATATCCCAACATGACATGGCAGCACTATAAAGACATAGAAAGAACCATCATGATGAATAAGTAACTGTGTATAATAACAATAAGTACATGATGATCCATCTCGAGACCAATATGTTAAACACTTGGCAAGTTTCGATCATACCAGTAATGATTTGTGGTTCTGCAGCTTGACATCTCACAGTGGCAACTGCATTCGTGTGTCCAGATAATGTGTGCACACTGGCTTTGGTTCGCACATCCCAAATCTACAAAGCATAGCATACAGTCAAAGGCAACAGGAATACGTGTTCCAAGCAGACAACTGGACCAGGCCAACGCCAGATATTTACGAGACAGCTGCGCCGAAATATAATCAAGAAAGTGCTCAACTGAGGGATGATGACGTATAAGCTGGGTGAGGAATGTACACAAGAGGCAATTAAGGGGGGGAAAAAGCTGAACATCAGGGGACTAAGTCTAAGCATGGGTATAGTGGGGCTATAGAATGAAAAAGATAATGGGGCCATATAGACTGAAAGCGAGAAAATCCCAATTTGGGGTGAAGGTATGACCACAGGACTGAAGATCAATGGAGAATAACATACTGGAAAATAAATTCAAGGAGTAAGGGACTGAATCAATGACAAAATAAACATCACCAGGGAGATGATTGCTAATGTTCTCTCTCATAAATTAACAAAGATGTCCTTAAGGTGAACCAAAGGCATATATGAAACAGTTTTCATATATGAAAAGAAATGAATTTGGGGCTCACACTCAATCCTAGTCCAATCTAAGAACAATCAGTTCCTATGACATGGCCCTGCTCTGTATGTGCCCTCATGACGAGAACAACAGAAGACATGGGTGCTACAGCAAAGTGTGAAGAAACCAGAATGTGCTCGGCTGTCAGAAAGAACAGTGTCTGGGGTCGTAAAGGCTTGTTTTCAAAGAAGCAGCCATCTAAGTGAGATATGAACTACGTTCACATGGAAGAAGCACAGTTGCCCGCATGATCCACGGGTGGGAAATAGTACAATCCAAGTCTTAAGGAGGGGGATGGTATCAGAGTTTAAATTGCAAACTTTCGGTTTGCTGAAGGCAATGACAATGCAAGCCCAAACACATTCGCAGGATCTACACATAAAATAAACTTCCAGTGGTGTCCCTCTGAACATGACCAAGGGAGGTGAATAACCCTGTTATCAAGAGAAAGTGCTGTAGAGACAAGTACAGAGTAACACGAAGCATCTGATCTGGACGGTCAAAACTTTATCATTTGATCTCCCTTTTGACACATTGAGTTTGCTCTAGTTTGTAATATTTTGTTTTCTTTTGACTGGGGTTATTCTGTTGCATTTTGTTATTGATTCTTGACTCTGTTATGTGTCTTTCTATGTTTTTCAGTATATGAAAGCCAGGATGGGTGAATCTAGAGAGACAATACTAGATGAAGGGTTTCTGGGGGGAGGCTGGGGGGTCATGGGGAACTAATCACAAGGAGTACAGAAGGAAGAAAATGTTTTATAACTGGTTGTGATAGCAACGGTACAAGCCTTCATGATATGACTGGACTACTGAATTGTAATGATGTCTAGATTATGCCCTACAACGGTTTAACAAAAAAGACAAGGGTCTTTAACTGTCTATCGGATCATACATGACTACATAGAACATATATCTGTAGATAATAAGCAACTCTGTCCTATTTACCCGTGCAGTTGAGTCTCGGCTACAAGTTACCAGCACATCTATTGTTGGATGCAAATCCAAGCCATACACGGCACTTAGATGTCCATGATAGTGTCTTATCACCTAAAGAGAAAGCAAGAGAGGTTCAAGTTCCTATTATAAGGAAGAAAAATACTGGCTCAGTGTTTTAAATCCTAAAACCCAAGCTTACCTTATTATATTCAAGATCCCAGCACTTCACTTGTTTGTCTTCTCCACAAGAGAACAGGTAAGGGCTCCTTGAGCTTACGATCACACCACGAACTGTACTGATATGCCCAGTCAATGACAGCTTTAATTTGCCACTAGCCAAGTCCCAGATCTGCGATCAAAGAAAATGTAGCTTTGTGTTAACCTTGTGTTGGTTACTAAAAAATAAGGGATACAAAATAATGTGAGGAAATGGCCTACACTCCAAGTATCACGTCACTCATTTTGAAGACTAATCGGTACCTTCGGACTCAGCTTCAAAAACATCTGCCTCATTACTTCTACCTAACGTAATGAAATATTTTAAAACACACAAAAAAACTGAGGGCAGAAGATGAACTAGACAGAGAAAAGCAGGAAACAGCTTTCACATCCTAGGTGATAAATATCGATCGAGAATATCTAAAGGACAAACTATGCGACCATTTAAAAACAGAGTTGAAAAAAAAAGTTGAATTCCATATGCCTTTGATATGTGGGTAAAGGAAAAATAAGATATAAAATTACGCATTGAGCATACTTTTGAACCAATAAACACTTACACAGAAAGAAAAAGTTTCGAAGGAAGTACAAGGATACTTATGAATACTGGAAAAGAAATTCACTCAGAGATCTACCCAGTGGGAGATTCTGGCGGATCAATGCTCTTTTATAGTTAGGTATATCTCTCAGGAGGATGTGGCAGGCTATAAAAGATGGACTAGGAAGTCCTACGGGGAGTTCTACGATGTCCTTCAGGCATCTTCCATATTCTCTCTAAATAAACATACTGTCATTTCTTAAGAAGTAAAAGAAACTATTAGCAAAGTTGCTGTAAATGGCATTTATTTCAGGAAGATAACTGGACCGATTTGAGGACATCGGTAGGTGCCACTGAGCTTCCAACCACAGAACAAAACACTAAATATGTACCACAAATATGTACCACAGAACAAAACACTACCCTGTCCTGTGCCAGTCTCTCGATTGTTTCCAGATCTGAGCCCACTGTTGCAATCCATCTCCTTGAAGGCGGCCTTCGACTTTATCAATCATGTTGATATCTTTCTCCTGGGCCCGGCCTCTCCGGACATGTCCAAAGTATGTATGATGAAGCATCACCATCTTTACCTCTAAGGAGCACTCTAGTCATATGTGTTAGTACGGGTTGACTAGAGAAACAAATTGATGGACACCCATATGTGTATAAGAAAGTTTTATATAAAAGAGCAATTATATATTGAGAAAACGTCCCAGCCCAGTCCATAAGTCCGATATTAGGCTGTATGTCTGATACCAGTCTATACATGCCTCTTTAGACACATGCAACACATTGAATGTCTTGTGGATCCAGTGGCGACTGAAGCATGTCAGTGCTGGCATGGGTCTACACGTGGCTCCTCCAGCTCCAGGGCTCTGGCTGCATCAGCATAGCTCCATGTGGTTTGTCAACAGAAATGTCTCCCAGGGAGTGTGTCTGGCCTCCAGTGAGTTATATAAATCTGTCGTGCATTCAAATGAGATCATTGAGCTGCAAATTGATCGACAGGCTAGACTCCACCCCTTCCTTAAGTTGACAGTTGATTATGTAACTACTAGACCATACTTCTGCTAGACCATACAGATGGGTTTGTCCTTTAGCAGTCCATGGCATTTTCAATATTCTCCTCCAGCACAATTCAAATGCATCAATTCTTCTTCAGTTTTCCGTACTGAATGTCCAACATTCACATACATATAAAGCAATTAAAATACTAAGGCTTGGGTTAAGCACACAATAGTCCTCAAAGCAACATCCTTGCTTTTCAATATTCTAAATAGGTCTTGTGCAGCAGTCTTATCTAATTCAACATACATCCTAGTTTCTTGATTGCTGCTTCCATGAACACTGACTGTGGATCCAAGCAAGAAAAAAATTCAATTTTTCCTCCATTTATCATGATGCTACCTATTGGTCCAGTTGTGAGGATGTTGGTCTTTTTTACAGTGAGTTTAATCCACCCCGAAGGTTGCAAACCTTGATCTTCATCAAGTGCTTCAAGTTCTCCTCTCTTCAGCAAGTAAAGTTGTGTCGTCAGCATATCACAGGTTAATAAGCCTTCCTTCCATCTTGATGGCACATTCTGTTTCATCTAACCCAATTTCTTTGATGACTTGCTCAGCACCGAGTGAGTGAGTATGGTGAGACGATAACAACCTTGCTGCACATCTTGCCCGATTTTAAGCCATGCAGCATTCCCACATGCTGTTTGCACAAATACTTCTTGATCCATGTACAAGTCCCCCATGAGCACAGTGACTTATTCTGGAATCCCCATTCTTCTCAAAGTGATCCAGAGTCTGTTATGATCCACACGGTTAAATGCCTTGGCAAAGTCAATGAAACAGAACTAAACTTCTGACTTGGATTCTGATTTAAGCCAAGATCCATCCTACATCAGCAGAGATCTCTCTTGTTCTAAGTCCTCTTCTGAATCCAGACTAAACCTCTGGCAGTTCCCTGTCAATGTACTGCTGCAACTCTTGATAGATGACTGTTAGCAAAATTTAACTTTCATATGTTATCAATGATGCTATACTATGATTTCAGAATTCTGTTGGGTCTCCCTTTTTTAATGGGCACAAACATGGATCTCCTCCAAGTCAGTTGGTCAAGTGCCTGCCTTCCAAATTTCCCGCCATAAATAAGTGTTTCCGGTGCTTCCTCTGCTTGCTTAAACATTCCAATTCATCAATGTCTGCAGCCTTGTTTTAAACTAATGCTTTCAGTGCAGTGGTTCTTGCTCATATGTTACCTCCTGAACGCTTATTATGTAACCTCCTAAAATGGTGGAATGTGAGCTTGTTCTTCTTGATACAGTGGCTCTATGTATTCTTTCCATTTTCTTTTGATGCCTCCTGCATCATTCAATATTTTGCTTATAGAATCGTTCAATATTGAAACTCGGTGTTTAATTTTTTCTTGAGTTCTTCCACTTCAGGATATGCTGAATGTTTTTTATGTCTTTGCACTTTTGCACCTTGTCTTCTCAAGCTGTCCTTTTCCAGATATACCAATTTTAAAATAATACTTATTTGTAAAAACTTAACAAAAACTTATCTGTTAACTCGTAATCAGGTCTAAAAATAATTTGAAGATATGCAACAGTGACCCTCACAATAGGAAATAACCTAATAACAGGTTCAACTTGCATGCTAAAGTTATGTTTTATTTGTTTTCTCTGTTCTTATTACCTTTATAGTTCTATCCGCAGACCCAGTAACAAACCACTGATTTCCAGGCTCCACAGCAATACATCGAACCCAGCCAAGGTGCCCACTGATAACCTGCAGTGAAGAAAAGCATGTGCGGACTCATCAGCAGTTCAAGTTTACTTGAATTCAAGTTTACAATTTCAACCACCACAAGGGTTTGAAATGCCCCTTCCCATAGCTTCAAATGAGTATCAACAATTAAAGTAATTGACAAATAAGAGTGTTTGGTAATTGTAGTACGATAAATGTGAAGCAATTTCCAACATGTGAAAGATATACAAATTGTGGTACTTCCATACAGTCAAATACTCCTAAGTACTAAAAATGGAAACATTCTTAATACATACGTCTTGGATGAATCACAAAGACATTAAAAGGTAGAAGCTAGTCACAAAAGGTTGCACACTCAGCGAAACTACATAAGGTAAACAGTCAAAACGACAAAACTAAACTAATGAGGAACAGGTAATTCTTGCAAGCGTATGACTGGGGCAGGAGTACAACTTTAAAAGGAGTGTTTTATGAGGGGGTAAAACGCCTATCTTAACAGAGCAACAATGTCCCCAGGAAATACTAAAAATAGACTTTGGGGCCAGGGCTTGGCGCCCCATCAGACTCGACTGGAAAACACTCCGAAAGGCCAACAAACAGTCCTAGAACTAACTACAAGCTTTTTCTTTTGTGGTTGTTTGTTGTGTTTTTTTTGGTTTTGTATTTGTCATTGGCTTTTTGTTGTTGCTGTTTTCTTTTGTTGCTTGGTTTTGCTCTGTCTTGCTTTTGTGCATGTTATTATCTCCGCAGGTCTCTCTAAATATGATAGGCTGGATGAACAATCTGGAGGAGAAAACAAGGGGACCGACAGTTCGGGTGGGGGAGGGGGACGACATGGGAGAGTGGGGGGAAAGGAAGTGGTGTTAACAAACCCAGGGACAAGGGAACAACAAGTGATCCAAATTGGTGGTGTGGGAGGCCTGGTAGGGCTTGATCAAGGGTCGTATAACCAAGAGAAATTACTGAAACCCAAATGAAGGCTTGAGCATGACAGACAAGAGGAAAGTCAAAAGGAAATAGAGGAAAGAACCAGGAGGCAAAGGGCATTTATAAAGGTCGAAATACAGCCATGCACATATGTAAATATATTTATAAATGAGGATGGGGAAATAGATCTCTGTGCATATATTTATAGGTTTAGTATTAAGATAGTAGATGGACATTGGGCCTCCACTCAAGTACTCCCTCAATGCAAGAATACTTTGTTCTATTAAACTAGTATCCCATGATGCTCACCTTCCCGACACAATCGCTGAAGACAAAGAGGGTGCATAAGCAAATGTGGTGAAGAAAGCTAATGGAGCCCGGCTATCAAAAGATACAGCATCTGGGGTCTTAAAGACTTGAAGGTAAACAAGCGGTTATCTAGCTCAGAAGCAACAAAGCCCACTTGGAAAAAGCATACCAGCCTGTGTGATCACAAGGTGTCGAAGGGATCAGGTATCAGGCATCAAAAAACAAAAAATCTTATCATTGTGAATGATGGGGAGTGCGGAGTGGGGACCCAAAGCCCATCTATAGGAAATTGGACATCCCCTTACAGAAGGGTCTCAGGGAGAAGAGCCAATCAGGGTGCAGTGTAGCAACAATGAAACATACAACTTTCCTCTAGTTTCTAAATACTTCCTCCACCCCACCCGCATCATGATCCCATTTCTACCTTGCAAGTCTGGCTAGACCAGAGGATGTACACTGGTACAGATGGGAATTGGAAACACAGGGAATCCAGTACGGATGATCCCTTCAGGACCAGTGGTGAGAGTGGCGATACCAGGAGGGTCGAGGGAGGGTGGGGTAGAGAGGGGGAACTGATTACCAGGAGGGTCGAGGGAGGGTGGGGTAGAGAGGGGGAACTGATTACAGAGATCTATATATAACCCCCTCCCTGGGGGATGGACAACAGAAAAGTGGGTGAAGGGAGATATTGAACAGTGTAAGATATGACAAAATAATAATTTATAAATTATCAAGGGCTCGTGAGGGAGGGGGGGAGCAGGGAGGGAGCGGGGGAAATGGGGAGCTGATGCCAGGAGCTTAAGTGGAGAGCAAATGTTTTGAGAATGATGAGGGTAACAAATGTGCTTTATACAATTGATGTGTGTATGGATTGTGATGAGTTGTATGAGCCCCCAATAAAATGACTAAAACAAAACAAAACAAAACTCCTATATCCTACTTGTCATTCAAGTAACAGTTAGCCAAATCTACATACCAATTATTAGAATTGCAGGTGTGTACACACATACACACAGAGGTCTATTTCACTCTATGACAACTTAAAAATATTAAAGCGTTAACCATATATTAAACCACACGAGGCTGTGTTTGTGTTTCCCTCTGACACACAGTTTATTTTGGAGCACTGGTGCTGTAGTAGTTATACATTGGGCTGCTAGCCTTAAGGTCAGCAGTCAGAAACCACCAGCCACTCCTCACAAGAAATACATGGCTTTGTACTCCCACAAAGAGTTGAGTCTTAGAAACCCACAGAGCCAGTTCTATCCTGCTGTGCAGAAATGCAATGGGTCAGAATCAGGTCAATGGTAGTGATTTTGAAGGTTTTTTTGACACATTTTTTTAAGATCGGGTGTATCTTGATTCATTCTAATTTATGATGCCTTAAAATATAATTGCTAAATCTCAAGAAATGTCTTTATACGGTCTTTCTGCCCTCAGCCTTCAGAATAAATATCTCAAAATCCCAAAGCCTCTCTTCTGGTCTCCACACTTATTAGCATTATATTCATATTTTGTAGTGTATTTTCCATAAAATATAAGTAAGCTTAAGGAAGTCTCCTTTCCCAGATATCTTTTAATAGACTATCTAAGCCCTCTCCCATGGGCATCTGGTGGCTTAGTGTGTTACGCATTGAGTTGCTAACCACAAGGTCAGTGGTTTGAATCCACCAGCTGTACTGTGGGAGGCAAATAAGGATTTCTGCTCCTATAGAGATTTGTAGCTTGGAAACCCACAGGGTAGTTCTAACTGGCCCTATAGGGTCACTATGAGTTGGAATCAATTAAACGGCAGTGAATTTGGGTGACTTTTAAACTCCCTCCCACCCCTCATCAAATCACTCTTCCTGTACTCATATTCACTCATTTTCCTTCCTGTTCTATTCCTCAGGATTTATACAAGCAGATTAACTCACTCTGTAGAGTTTCCAAGGTGGGTGCCACTGGGGTTTCGGCATTGTGGGGGCCTTTTTGGCCATCAGTGCAGAGGTCTTGGCATTGGAAGCCTCCAAAACCTAGACAGAAAACAGATAATAGTATGAGTGAGAAAACCATATATAACATTTCATGTTAACATAAAAATGGAAAGTAAGAGTGGCACACAAAAGGTTTACTCCCCCCCCTCTGAAATTACTAAAAGGAAATGAGTCTTGTTTTCTCTAACATAAAAAGTAATTTAAGCTTTGTCATAACTATATCTTGCTCAATTTTCATTTTAAAAATCAAAGAGAAGTATGTCGCAATGTTTTAAAGCACGTAACAGACTGAGTAAAAAAGTACATTGCATCTTTTTGTAATATGAATACCTACCTCACAGTTATGACATTACATAAAATCCTACTTTAAAAGGTTGATAGAATATCACATTACCACCTTGTGGAAGAAAGATAAGGCTGTTTGTTCCCAGGAGGAGTTACATTCTGTGAAACTCTCTAACCAGCAATCCTAGTCTGTCCTGTAAGATCACTATGCGTCAGACTCAATTTCATGGGAGTGAGCTTGGTTTGGGGTGGGTTACTGGCTGGGATAAAAAGCCTTGCGATCTACTTTTTCAAAAAACCAGTCACTGAAAACCTACGGAGCACAGGTCTATTCTGCCCCACAGGGAGTTGGCAAGAGTTGGAATGGACTGGATGGGCATTAGGGAGCCCAACCATCCATTCACAAAATATTGGAGCCAATCCATACTCCGTATTTCATAAAGACAAATCACCGGTTATATAATAAATTGGAGATAGGGTGACAGAATTCTGCCATACCAATGACTTATTCACAGCAAAAACCGCTTTTCAATAACACAAACGGCAAATATACATATAGATTGCTCCAGAGGAAACACACAGAAGTCGAACTGACTGACTACATGGGGTGGGGGGTGGGGGGCCATGGAGAATCACTATCAGCAGCTAAAACCAGGCCAGGGGCTGATTGTTGAAGGGACTATCAATTGTTCACATGTAAGCTGAGTTGAGACTGAAGCTGAAGAAATTATAACAAGTCCACAAGGACTAAAATATAGCCTGAGTCTGTCCTAGCTGACTTTCAAGACCATCACAAGTACAGATTGGATGCACTGAACACTAATGACAGAAGAACTGATGAGCAGTGGGAAGCCATCCAGAACATCATTCATGAAGAAAGCAAAATGCCATTATAAAGACAGAAAAGAAAGTCAAAGTGGATGTCAAGAGATTCTAAAACGTGCTCTATTAATTGTAGAATACCTAAGGCGAACAAGAACTGAGGAAGTCAACGAAATGAACATAGGATTTCAAAGAGCAGCTCGAGAAGACGACGACAAGTATTATAATGAAATGTGCAAAGACGTAAGAGTTAGAAAACCAAAAAGGGAAGAATACACTCAGGACATCTTAGTGAAAAAACTGAAGAAAAAATTTAAGCCGAGTTACAATACTGAGTGAGTCTAAGAGCAAAATATGAAACGATGCAGGAAGCCCTAGAGAAGATGCAAATACTACAGGACTGTGCCAAAAAGGACGCGTCCGCATTGCACCATGTCAGGAGGAACCTATAAGAAAGAATAAGTGGAACTCAGGAAGAAGTTCAAGCTGCACTGAAAGCATCAGCCCATCAAACTGTGGGTCACAACCCCTTTGGGGGTTGAACGACCGTTTCACAGGGGTCACCCGATTCATAATAGTAGCAAAATTACAGTTATGAAGTAGCAATGAAAATTTTATGGTTCGGGGTCACCAGAACATGAGGAACTGTGCTAAAGGGCCGCGGCATTAGGGAGGTTGAGAACCACTGCATTAGCCAAAGACAAGACTCCAGGATTTAATGAAACATTTCACCAAATTTCTATAAACCGAGGAAGCACTGGAAGGAACTACTTGTCCAACGGACTAGAAGAGACATATCTGTGTCCATTCCAAAGAAAGGTGACTCAGCAGAATGCTCAAACTATAGAACATTATCAATGATATCACATGCAATCAAAACTTTACGGATAATCTATCAACAATTACAGCAGTACATTGACAGGGAGCTGCCAGAGGTTCAGGCTGGATTCAGAAAATACAAAATGTTTACTCCTATTTTATTGATATGCCAAGGCATCTGACTGTGTGGATCATAAAAAACAGTATGGCTAATCTTGAGAACAATGGATATTACAGAATACTTCAGTGTGTTCATGGGGAACTTGTACATGGACCAAAAGGCAGTTGTGGTTAACAGAATATGGGCATATTGCATGGTTTATAATCAGGGAAGGGGTGAGTTGGGGGTGTTATTATCTCACCAATCTCATTCAATATGTATGCAGAGCAAATCATCAGAGGCTCTGGGTTATATGAATAATAACGTGGCATCAGGATTGGAGGCACTAGGCATTTATTAACAACCTGTGACGTGCACATGACACAACCTTGCTTGCTGACAGTGAGGAGGACTTGAACACCTGATGGTGCAGATCACAGATTGCAGTGTTCAACATGGTTTACAACTCAAGGTAAAGAAGATCGAAAGCTTCACAACTGGACCAATGGGGAACCATCATGATAAATGGGAAAAAGGTTGAAGTTTTCAAAGATTTTGTCTTGCTTGGACCCACAATCACCCCTATACATCAGTCAAGTGAGCAAAAGACAGGGACCTTGGGTAAATCTGCTGCAAAAGACCTCTTTAGAATATTAAAAAGCAAGGATGGATGTTACTTTCAGGACAAGACTGTGCCTGACCGAAGCCATGGTATTTTCAATTATTTTCACAGATATGAGCAGCTGCCATTTACTTAAAATAAGCTCATATATATCTGAATGCTTATTTCTCAGACACTAGTTGTATGGCCCATGAGTATTACCAGACCAAGAGCACTCATGTCTTACACTATGCAAACCAACTTAAAGTTTCACTTAAAGTACTCTTATGCTTAATAACACTGACATCTAGCACAAGTTTCAGAATAGTACTAATATTTTTAGTACCAATAAATAGCTATATTTTACCTTCCCCAAATAAATACAATCTATAAAGTGCAAGAATTACATTGTTCTAGATTTTGAGAATTACATTATTCTAGAAGTTTAAATTCTAAAAAAATATGTCAACTCACTAACATCAAGTTTTAAGATCATGAAATATTAACAAGCAGCTCAGGCTACTATCTAATATAATAATTCTAAGGAAAATGTATCTTTTCCCAAACAATTTAAGAAAGAGATTGGTATTAAGAGGAATAAGATGCCGTAGAAATTAAAGACCTTCACCATGACTTGGCACAGGAAAACTTACTGCAGTCATGGATGGAGGCTGTGACCGGTCAGAAGCCCCGGGATGTCGGTATTCATTTCCACCAGGTGTAGTTCGATTTGCATCAACCCTAACACAAGAGAAATATCACAAGTAAGGAAGCAAGCAATCAATGCCACCAATCATGTGCTCGGCACAAACAACTCTTTTCTTCTAAAAATTTTAAGTCTGGTGAATGGAAGTTTCACATAATACATAAAGAAACTTAAAAAGGAGGGAAAGCGTTTACATCTCTGTGAGTACAGAAATGAGGAAAGGCTACCTGCTCTGAGCAGAGGGCAGCGCCACCGCCACAGACTGTGCAGCCGATTCACTCGGCATTCTCTGAATCTTCGTGTCCGCTGTCAGAGCAACCCCTGTTAAAAGAAAAAATTAATTCCTTTAGTAGCCATCTATGCTTATATTCACATGCATGTAAAATAAAATACAAACCAAATGCCAAAAATATAAGGGTGAATATATCTAGGTAGATAGATCACAATTTTTTTATTAAGCTTTTTCTTTTGTTTCCAAATTTTTACAAACTGTAATTATATAAGCATTATTTAATGACACATAACTCAAGTCTGACTGATTACAGTAGCTCAGGAGAATAAAAGTGACATTTTTATTATCTTGGGGCATTACCTTTAGATGTAAAAATCAAGCAATTTCCCAAATAGTAGCAGAAGTTTCTAAGAACGAATGTAAATCACTACTACAAAAAGCTCCCAATCCATTGTAATTTCTCTATCATGCAGCCCATCTTCTCAAACTACTAGAACCAACATATTAAAATTGTGTTTTGTTCACTGAAAACAAAGCAGGTGCACAGGCAAATGTGGTGAAGAAAGCTGACGGTGTCCGGCTGTCAAAATATGCAGAATCTGGGGTCCTATAGGCTGGAAGATAAACAAGGGGCCATCTAACTAAGAAACATCAAAGCCCTCATGGAAGAAGCACACAAGCCTGTGAGATCACAAGGCATTGAAGGGATCAGGTATCAGGCATCAAAGCCAAAAAAACCAAAATCATAGCATTGTGAATGAGGGGGAGTGCAGAGTGGGGACCCAGGGCCCATCTGTGGGAAACTGGGACATCCCCTTGCAGAAGGGCTGCGGGGAGGAGACGAGCCAGTCCGGGTACAGTGTAGCAACGATGAAATATGCAATTCCCCTCTAGTTCTTGAATGCTTCCTCCCCCCTACTATCATGATCCCAATTCTACCTTACATATCCGGCTGGACCGGAGGATGTTCACTGGCACAGATAGGAACTGGAAATACAGGGAATCCAGGACAGATGAACCCCTCAGGACCAGTGGAGAGAGTGGCGATATTGGGAGGGTGGAGGGAAGGTGATGGAGAAAGGGGGAACAGATTACAAGGTCTACATATAACCTCCTCCCCAGGGGACGGACAGCGGAGAAATGGGTGAGGGAGACGTTGGATGGTGTGAGATAAGACAAAATAATAATAATTTATAAATTATCAAGGGTTCAGTGAGGAGGGAGGAGTGGAGAGAAAAATGAGGAGTGGATGCCAAGGGCTCAAGAAGAAAGCAGGTGTTTTGAGAATGATGATGGCAACATATGTATGAATATGCTGGACACAATTGATGTATGTATGATTGTGATAAGAGTTGTATGAGCCCCTAATAAAATGATTTAAAAAAATTGTGTTTTGTTATACTAGTCACTCCATCTGTGTACCAACCCTACACACAAAAAATACACACATGGCTCATGTTTAATATTCTCTTTTGACTTTTATATGCTAATTGATATTCACAAATCAGCTACCAGAGAGTAAGCTTAACAAGGCCTGTCGCAGTCTTACCGCCTTTGAGTTCCTCCTGTAGTGTCTGAGAAATAGTAGTGTCTGAGAAATAGACGTGTGCGAAGAATGCTGAGTGTGCTACTAAGTATCACTTAACTACCATCGAAAAAGTCAGCTCTAGACAAATAGCTATTGGCTTGATTTTGTATTTTATAAGCAATGGGAATCATTTATGGAAATATATGTCATAATTGGGCATTTTAACAGCCTACTTACCAGGGCCTGGTGGATATGGATGCGTACCTGTCACCAAATATTCAACTTCCTGGCCTAAAAGTGTAAGAGAGGAAGGTGAGAAAGCCCTCATAATTCTTCTTATATACAAATACTATCTATTTTAATGAATCAAATAATAATATTATATAATCAACCAGGTTTCGGAACATCTCCCACTAAACTCCAGTCTTGGAAATAAGGGAACTTGATCTTTTCTTTTTCTTGACTCCTGAAAACCATGCACAGAACTACATCCTTACCTCTCTGCTGATGAGATCAGGAAAGCTTGGGCATATTTTTTTTTTTTACAGAATGGTGGGTAGGAAGCTAATCCACTGTTTTGTTGTTTTAACCAACAAATGGCTTCCCTGTGCAATTTTGGATTCTTTTATTCACTGTAATTTTCAGTCACATTTGAACTTACTACTGTCTTTCTGACCAACAGCCAACAGATGGTCTCCCTACCATTCAGAAATTGTCTCCAAATTGTTCCTTTAGTCTCCACTGTGACCTTGTCCACATCTTATAGATATCTGCTATCATTATTCTACCACCTTCTTATAAAAAGAAAACCATTACCTAATAATGTCAATCACAAGTCTTGAGAAAATCAAGACTTCCATTACAATACTGGTACAATCAGTAAAAACTGTATGGTTGGAATTGGCTTCTGGAAGGGGTACTGAAGAGCCTTGGTGGTATTGTGGGTTATACTTTGAGATGCCAGCAGTAAGGTCAACAGTTTGAACCCACCAGCTGCTTCATGGGAAAGATGAGGCTTTATATGTCCTTAAAGAACTGTAGTCTCAGAAACCCACGAGGTTAGTTCTACCCTGTCCTACAGGGTCACTCTGAGTTTTAATTGACTTGTTGGCAGTGAGTTTGGGAAGTGGTGCTAATAAAGCATTTGGTTTTTCTAATTTTAACAATTCACATTTAAGTCCTGATAACACGATACTCACCTTGATTGGCAGGATACTGCTTGTGACCATAGGAGTCTGCTGCATTTTGAAGGCCCTTCTCTTTAAAATTTTCTTTTGAAGTAGGCATATGCAACACAGGGCCATACTCATTGCGAAGTTTGACTGCCATTTTTCGTTTGTGACTATTTAAAAATTACAAACATAAGAATACATTTTTAATACTTTATATTCACCAGAGCAAATGTTTACAGGTAGCCTGAGAATGAGTATTCAAATTTGTTTAACCATGTAGAAAAAGATTCTATTACGATTTTAAAGTTAAATAGCATTTTTAACTTCAACTTCAAAAAATCTAAGTACAGTTCTAAACCCTGTATCTAGTTTCCCTCAAATTCCACAGCATAGATACATTGTTCTAAGTAATATTTTCATTTGTTTCCTAATTAATCTTTCATTTACCTTAACAAGGTTAATTACAACTAATCAAAGTACTTAATTTATTCAACATCTTACAAAGAAATGCACTTATGTTATTTTTAAGTACAGCCCACTTTATATTAATATAAATGCTTCTTTGAGAAATTAAGTAAAAGATTTAAAAGGAAGAGCAAAGGACAAAAAAGGAACACTGCACATAATGCGACCCCAGCCTGGAGCTGGAGATGAGGAACCAAAAATAAGCCATCATTCAAAAATCTTCATCAGACTAACAAGAAAGGATGGCAGTAGAAGTACTGGCCAGCTGCGATTTCAGCTCAGCAAGGCTCCGAGAGCAGCGGGAAGCTGAAAGCTCATGCAAAGTGATTAATTATAAAATAAAACACCTGAAAAGGGTCCTCCAAATTATGGCATACTTCTAAATGCAATTAATAGGGTTTTTAATGTGAATGATAAGGCCAAAAAAGAAGTTCAATCAGCTTAAATTACCATATATACTGACCTGAATATAAGCTGACCTGAATATCAGCCGAGGCACCTAATTTTACCACGAAAACTGCATTAAAAATGTGCTGAAAAACTCAGCTTATAAACAAGTATATAAGGTATATAAAGGCACCACTCACTATTGCCTATCTAGCCTATGAGTGCTAGTACTACTAACTAGTACTAAAAGATTAACTACTGCATTCTTCTCATAGAATGCATCCAGATAAATAAGATGGATACAAAAGAGGAGGTTGTTGCTCTGCAAAAACATGTATCACATTACAGTACTTACTTGTGCAAACCGATTGTTTTTTGAGTAGTCTTACTCTCCCTGTCCTCTTTCACAATGTTAGGCGTTTAAATATGCTAGCAATTAGAGACGATGCCTACCTCTCTTCATCCAAAGGCACAGGTTTGCCATTATCAGCTACAAACATGTCATGGGTCCTTTTCAATGACCTGAACACTAGTGTATGCACAGAATGCTTCTGTACCTCCTAAAAAGAAACAGGGCAATTATATACTTAGTTACAAGTTACATACATCACAATCTAAAGCCAAATTGTTATGTACCTCACATTTGCCAATGTAAAAAACTTCATGCTACTCACCACAGCTCCCAGTAGCAAAGTGAAAGAATCAAATGTTAAAAAAAAGAAGAGAGAGAAAAGCTGCCATTTGACCAGAGCCCCAGGAACAACACTCGGTTATTTGTTGCATAAATATTTATCCCGTGAACACTATGTATCTAGCAGGCATTGTGAGAGAAGTTTACAGAATGGGGAAGTCATATTCCCTTGCTCAAAGGGAAATAAATAAAAATAAGCAACATATTCCCACATTTTGATTAGTGTTATAAAGGTAACAAGCAAGGGACTGTGACATAAGAGAGAGAAAGAATACATTATTTTGTGCAGTACTGTCAGGGAAGACCTCTCTGAGGTGATATTTATACAGAGAATGCTACCTGGCCGAATGGAGTCAGGTGCAATTTGGACAGAGGAAAACAACGTATACAAAAATGTTCACTAATTGAAATAATATCAGGAGCTTCTTTTTACTCCGGTAAAGACTTAGTCTTGGAAACGCACAGATGCCGTTTTAGTCTGTTCCATAGGGTCATTATGAGTGGGTAACGACTACATGGCACTGAGTTTGGTTTTGAGTTCTGGGCACTGTAATTATGAGAGGGTGGGTTTTGTTGTAAGATGAGGTTGCAAGAATCGGCAAGGTCTTTTAAACCTTTGACAACCACCTGCGTTCATGCTCTAGTTTTAACACGAGGCCGGTAACGAGTTTTTTGCACAAGGAAGGCGTGGCTGGCTGACATTTTAAACAGATAAAATTTATAGGGACCCAAACGGGAGCGAATGCGGCAGTCCGGGTGAGAGGCTATTGGTCTGAATTAAGGCGACTGCTTTGGCTATGGAGAAGGGCGGTCAGAAGCCAAGCTTCTGAGATAACACAGGTAGGACATTCAAGCTAGCGAAAGATGCAAAACAAGATTTTCCCGAGGGAAGAGCTGCGCTAAAAGACCAACTCTTAAAACGAGAAGACCATCCGTTGTTTACAAGCAGAATTCCTGGTACAACCCTCCAGGCGGCAAGTACCAGTGGTTCACCATCAAGGGAAGCCTCACCTACAAAGACAGTGCCCACTTCTCATTGGCCAAATGAAAACTGGAGAAACTTCTCAGACTTCCCGCCTCAAATTCGTGCTCTCACCCAGCCAGTGTACGCCCTTGAAAACCTAAAAAGGCAGTGGGCCTCGCCTCGGCCAGCCACTCCTTGCAGCCTCCTCTCCCCCCATCATTCACGATTGCCGCCAGAGAAAAGCAGTCCTGGCCACACGACTCCTGAGAGCCTGTCCCCGTACCTCAACCATGATGCCACCGAGAAATCCGCCCGCCAGCCACCGAAGAAACACTATCAAATGCACAAGGAACCGCCGCCACGACTGTCCAGCCCCTTCCGGAAGCGCACACCCCGGCACCGGATGTGACGTAGTTCACGCGCACGCGCGATGGGCATCTTCCGGTCCGGGCACGAAGGGGCCGGCCTTTGCCCTGGAGGCTATTCCCAGGGGCGGAGTCTTGGAGTTCTGGCGTCTCCCGGCAGTTCCTGGCTGGGCGTCTCTGGCTACTGGCAACTTTAAATGTTTTGCGTTGTCGCTGTAGCTTTATTTGTTCCGAACTGTTCTACCTACTTTTTATGTGGAGAAACTAAGAAATAAGTTTGGGGAGGGTCTGACATGCGAATTCCCCAGTCGATTTTCTACGATCAACAGCTACAGGCTGGGAAACTCATGGTGAGTTTGGTTTGGTTCTAGATAGTATGAACGAGGAGCCCTGGAGGCGTCGAGATCACGCGTCGGGCTGCTAATCGCACGGTCTGCAGTTTGAAATCACCAGCTTCTCAGCGAGAGAAAGACAAAGCTTCCTATTTCCTAAGGAGTTCACTCACTTTTTGTTGCTCAGCAACACCATAAGGCAAAGCAGAACTGCCCCTGTGGGTTTCTGAGGCTGTAAGTCATTTTAGGAGTAGAAAGACCTCTCTTTCCCCCACCGCTAAGATGAAGTTTTCTACTCCTGTAAAGACTTACAGTTTCACAAACCCACAGGCAATTCTACCCTGCCCAATAAGGGTCGCTATGAGTAAAAACTGGCGGCAATGAGAGAAAAAAAGTTACAGTCTCAGATATAGGGGCGGTTCTACCCTGTCATCTAGCTAGGGTGGCCTTGAGTCAGAATCAACTTGCTAGTGTAGTGGGTTACTCATTGGGCTGCTAACCACGTGAGTCAAAGCCACCAGTTGCTCTGGTGGGGAAAGATGAGGTTTTCTGCTCCTATAAAGATTCGCCGTCTTGGAAACCCATATGGGCAGTTTTACTCTCCCCTATAGGGTTACAGTAAGTCAGC